AGCCGAGAAGGATGAATTCCATCACTCCTGTTTCATTTTCTCCTCCTTGAATATTTCCTCCCATCTTCCCTGTTTTATCTGCTGAGATAAAATTTTGAATGAAACATTCAGAATCAGAATTACTACTTAAATTCAAGAACTTGGGACTTCCATTATAAAGGTGGATTGAAGCAGTCACTGACGTGAACTGACTGTTGGAGAAGCACCAGTGATAAGGACTTAATTACTTTTTCTAGCACTTTTTCATGATCCATCTAAGAGATCTGTAAAATGAATTAGAACAAAGTCTTTGCCTGGCCACCCCTCAGATGGAACACCATACAAGTTATGGGTTAAACTGGGAATTTTATTTACACATAAGCTGATCTGCACCATTTCATTACACAAAGCAATGGTTGTATTGTGTTTGCTAAGCAAGCTTCCTAACAGGGCAAACCCACCATGGCTCACAGCCAGGTCCAGACTCTTTCTGTATCTTACTCATCACGGCCCACATGCCAGTGCATAGAGGGGATGGAGGGGCACATTCCTGCTCATGACTGCTACGCCTTAAAGCTCATCATATACTCCCCCAACCTGGAAAAGGCCCCCAACTGAGTCACCCAGACTGCCAAACCTATAGGTACCCTGTTTGAGGACCACCCCCCATTGCTGATATCTCGGGGTGCTTGCCAGTTCAAAAACCTCCTCAAGCCATGCTTTTCCTGCTTTCTCAGTCAAGGCCTAACCAGTTTTACCAGGCCTATGTATACCTTACCCCCTCATACCATACAGAGCAGACAAAAAAAGGCCCCCCTCATGGCCAGTCCAAGTGAGGCTCAAAAAACTCTTGCCCAGCCTCTCAACCAGTGGTCCCACATGGTCTTGAAATAAGGGTGGGCAGGTGGGGATCTACACTGGGCAAAATGATCGTGGAATAGCTAGCCACCCCCGATTAGTCAGCACACTCATGCTTAGGGTTGCCAACCTCCAGGTGGGGCCTGGGGATCTCATGCTTTTACAACTGATCTCCAGCTGACAAAGATCAGCTCCCCTGGAGAAAATGGCTGCTTTGAAGGGTGGACTGTATTGCATTATACCATGCTGAGGCCCCTCCCCTCCCCAAACCCCACCATCTCCTGGATCCACCCACAAAGTCTCCAGGTATTTTCCAACCCAGACCTGGCAACCCTACTCATGCTGAGCCTTAATCTTCGTGATTCCATCTGAGGAGGTGGGGTGTTAGCCTGATTGCTCTGAGTTATTATCAAAATTGGGGAATATATTATAAAAGAACAATAAAGCAATAAGGGAACAAACACCTTTATATACAGAGGTCCCACTTCTTCCCAGCTTACCAGGAATAGACTCAAAGACAAGCTTCAGTATAAAATGATTTCCTTTACTGAAGATGTATCACAAGCAAACAATATCACAAACACACTCGCAATTCTACAGTTCTATGAAAATTAGATAGAAGAGGAAAGCACTTTCGCATTAGCAGGATGCTTTGTTGAGGGGTAATACTGCTACCTGTCCACGACGGGATGGAGCAAAAAATGAGGGAGACTATAGGGAAATGGGGTCTTGAACCAGCATAGACACGTGGAAAGACTCTTGGGTAGCTAATCCAGAGTCATCAAGATAGGTAGGGTTCAGGTGCAGAGAGAGAGAGAGCCCACGTGGCTGGGAGCCCTTCTAAGAGGGGGGCTTTGGAGGTTGGGCCAGGCTGGTCACATGTCTTGGCCCACCTCCTACTAATCTATCCCCAAAACAACCTATTGGAGCAGGGTTTAGGGGGAGGGGATTAAGGGAGTGGACAATATTGAGATCTAGTAACTTTGGGCTGAATAGTGGCACCTGAAGGGATTATGACTCATGCGGCCAGAGTCTTTGTCACTAAGTTTCCATGATTGTCTTCTGTCTGTCACCTTTCAGCTAGGAGGGAAATGCTGCCTGCTTGTGCTGGAAGACACTTCTCATGGCATTTAGATTTCTTTGTCTCCTGTCTTTACTCTGGGTTTACAGTGCTTCACATAACTAGGAAGCTGGTCCATCTTACAGCAGGCAAGAGGGCAGGTACCTTCCAGGAACCATTGGCACAACATCTCACAGGAAAGCTTTCTGCTTCTGGGTGTGTGTGTCTAGCTGGCATCCTTTTTGAGTCACCACACAGTTCAGTCCCTATTTGCGCATTGCTTGCACAGTCCAGGTTTTATTACTTATGAACTTTGTCCATAAGAGCCTTGCAGGACAACAGGGAATAGGCAAACGCCGGTGCCTGTTCCATGGGCTGGCAGCGTTTTTTCCCACTATTTGTCTTGTAACTAAAATCATCACCATAATCATCATAGTTTAGTGTCAGCAAAATATCAATATTATGTCTAGGACTAGGGGAGAAAATAAGGTCTTGGATCCTATCCCTTTCCTCTGTTTCCACAGGATGTTCTGCATTATGGGTGTGATGGTCCACATGGATCCAGTCAGCATTTCAGCCGGTGCAAAAAGGAGGAAGAGTTCCCTTTGGCCACCCAAAAAGCTATGTTGGGGATTGTGTGACCTGCATTGATATAAGCCATGTAATAAAGAGGAGAGTTAAGTGAGATTGTCCTAAAAAGCTATCTGGATTCAACCCAATGTTCCCCTAATGCTAGATAATTTCTGCATAGATTTTTGGATGATCCAAAGGGAGTCCTCCTCCCTTTCCCACAAACAGGAAAATTGATCCAGCCAATCAAATTGATCCAGCCAATCATATTTTGGATTCAATAGAACTTGAGAACATGAGGAGATATTTTACTATCATAGTAAAGTTAAAGGTTTCTTGAAAGCCAGCCGAAATTGACTCTAGGGTTGTGGTGCTCATCTCCATTTCCAAGCCACAGAGCCAGCACTGTACGAAGATGTTTCCATGGTTATGTGGCCAGCATGACTAGACACCGAGGCACATGGAACGCTGTTACCTTACCACCAAAGTGGTACCTATGTATCTACTTGCAATTTCTTGCTTTCGAACCGCTAGGTTGGCAAGAGCTGGGGCCAGAGACGGGAGCTTACTCCGTCATGCGGCACTTGGGTCTTAAACTGTTGAACTGCCGACCTTCCAACCTGCAGTTCAGCATCTTAACCATTACCATACACAGACTCCGATCACACCAGCGAGGAACTGTGGGCGGGAAGCGAGGCTGTTTGCCCCGGGGCGAACTGACACTCATTTGCGCAATCAGACTTCTGCCCACCTGCCCCGCAGTTCCGGATACTATTAGCCTTTCCCCAGTGGCTATTTGTGACGCTTCTGCAGTGCAACAAGACGCCCCTTTGGATTCAATAGAACTTGAGAACATGAGGAGATATTTTACTATCATAGTAAAGTTAAAGGTTTCTTGAAAGCCAGCCGAAATTGACTCTAGGGTTGTGGTGCTCATCTCCATTTCCAAGCCACAGAGCCAGCGCTGTTTCCGTGGTTATGTGGCCAGCATGACTAGACACCGAGGCACATGGAACGCTGTTACCTTACCACCAAAGTGGTACCTATGTATCTACTTGCAATTTCTTGCTTTCGAACCGCTAGGTTGGCAAGAGCTGGGGCCAGAGATGGGAGCTTACTCCGTCATGCGGCACTTGGGTCTTGAACTGTTGAACTGCCGACCTTCCAACCTGCAGTTCAGCATCTTAACCACTACCATACACAGGCTCCGATCACACCAGCGAGGAACTGTGGGCGGGAAGCGAGGCTGTTTGCCCCGGGGCGAACTGACACTCATTTGCGCAATCAGACTTCTGCCCACCTACCCCGCAGTTCCGGATACTACTAGCCTTTCCCCAGTGGCTATTTGCGACGCTTCTGCAGTGCAACAAGACGCCCCGGCAACGACTCCGGGATGCTGGACAGATGTGTCCATCTGATCACATCCCTTTAATCCGTGGGGGAATCGCATGTCTGTCACAGCTTCTGGTACGTATGATCGCAGCCACACTTACTGTTTTACTAACTTACACACTATACTCACATCATCTGCTGAGATGAACTTGGCTGCAATTTTGCACACAGAACTATAGGAACTAAATACTTATGTACTTATTCTGTACAAGATGTCATTCTGTTCCTCCCGGTTCTCCTTACTACAGCCACTGTTCCATGTGGCTTTTGTCTACAAAGATTTCATAATCCTTGATATAACTTTTTGGTGGTCAAAGGGGACCTTTCTCACCAGTGGAGAAATTGGTTGCAATGAATCCTATCATTTTATGTGTAAAGAAGTATAATAAATGACTGATGTGCAAGATTTATCGGGGGGGGGGGGAGCAGAGTTAGGTGGATTGTTCTCACATAACCTGTCAGTGCTATAGTACAAACAGAATCAAAAAGAAAAAAAAACACCTCTATGTAAAATTATGACATACCCTTTCATCCATTCCTTCCTTATCCATTAACCTCTCTTCCAGTAAATATTTTTAAAAGGAAAAGGGTAAAGGCAAACAAAACACATCAAAATTTGATACTGGATGCTAAACATGTAAGACTCACAATAGAAGAAAATAAAAACAAACAAACAAGAAACACTTACCAAGTGTTTGCTCCTTCATTCTCTTGGCTTAATAGGACAATGCAACAGATTGGTTTGAATTTACTCATCTATCCCTCCAGTTATCCCTCTGACATCTTCCATATCGAACCTGACACTGTTCCCAAATATTTTGTGTTGGATGGATGGTTTATAGCCTCTAGCCTAACATGTAGCCCCTCCTAAACAATAATTTATGCCTGTGATGCAGGAGGCTAAATAAATGGTTTTTATGTCATCCCAACCTAAAACATTCTTGTGATTTTGTCTCCAAAGAATTGAAGGCAGTACATGGTTTTCAACAATATGTGCATATTTTCAAAGGTGGCTACTTCAAGCTCTCATAGTCAACAATTCCCTTCTGGATAATGCATGGATGGTTTAAAACCTCTAACCTAACATGCAGCCCCTCCT